TGCAGTGACAAGGATATTTGTCGTGATAGTCAATTTCACGAGGATCGCACAGGTAGCAATCGAAGGAATCACGAAGAAACTAACTAACCGTGTCAAGTAAGAGATCGATCAACGTACATTGCACCTAACAAATTTGAGGATTCCTATCAGGATTCGTGACATTCGACGCGTGAAATCGACAAGTTCAAGACTCCTACGAATCCGAAGATCTGGCAAAGACAAAAGGATTTGAACGATTTAGCGTGTACCAAGTGCTGTACATAATATGGTTACACGCGGTCATCGTACGAAAAGGATCCGACGAGCCGAGAAAGAGAAGGGTAGACAAGAAACGTAGTGTGTGCTGTCTATGACGACCATAGTGTGAGCTATTTAACCTACTTTCCGTTGCGACTGATTCTAAATCTCCCACTATTCTCATTGCGCCTCTTGATCCTTACGTAACACGTCGTCACTCGTCGTCCATCCGCAGTTATCTGATGTATCAGTCGCTTCTACTTAAGTGGTGAAGCACGTGCGTTTAACGGATCCTTCAACGGTGCACTCTAAAACCGTTGCTCTGTTTGTTTGGAAACGAGTCAAACCTCGATCGTGGACCACTGTCTTCGAACGGAAGTTCTTCTCCACGAAGCGATCACTCGCAAAGAAGAATCACAGGCGTGTCCTTGGTCGTAAATCGGAGTTAAACGCGTAGCCGACGGGACGCGTCGAACGATCGGCCTCCGACGATCGCTGTTCAGCTAAACCTATGACGACACCTTGCAGAAGCGAGCAACGAGCATTCCGCGTCCAGGCACAATCGTCTTCGTCGCTGTTCTCGTTGAAGGAAATCTTAAATCGACGAATTCGACGTTCGTCGGAGCTTTGACGCTGAAAGAGGTGGGGAATCGTTGGGTGTGTAAACGGATGTCTCGAGCCGACGGCCGTCGCCAATACTAAACCACGTCCACCGTGGAGAATTGAATTGGCGCATTCGGCACGCAAGCGGATGCGTTCCTGAGGGCAAGAACGAAAACGACGCCTCGTTTCACGTGATTCTGCCGCGCGAAACTCGGCCTCGCGAGGGCTCGATTGATCTTGCGTTGCGTTGTACAAATCAATCAACACGACGTTAACCTTCTACAGTATGGAACGGGGCAGCGGGGGCGGGGGGAGCCTCGAGCTAGGTGGAGGCGGTGGAGGTGGCGGGAACACCGAACTATGTCTTCAGGATCTCGTCACGGGACCGACGACCGGCCTGTCGGTCCAACATCATCACCACTCGGCCGCCGCTGCTTCCATGGCCGGCCTTCACGGTGATCATCTCCAGGGAACGATGCACCATCACGATCTACACGGAAATTCGCACCACGACGCGTCTATGCTGCACAACTCCAATCATCAACTGCACGCTCCATTGGAGAAGCTGAAACGTGGTGAGTCGGTCACAATATCAAGGGCCGTAATACGGCCCGATTCTTCTCGCGTTCGATCGGTGAACAATTCTGAGGAAACTGGAAAACGAGGGAAATGTAACATTGCACGATCATGGATAATTGCTGTTGGAAGTGAACAAGTAGGATGCGTAGTGTGACGATTGAAAGATGAGGCTTTTAGGAGGTAATAATGTGAGTTTGGAATGGTATCTGTTTGTATGGTAGACGAGGGTAGACATAGAGTATCGAAGGTTTGGTAATTACGTTGTAATTTATGATTGGAGTGAAGCTGCGTTTTAAGGTGTTTTATTGATTATTGATCGAAAGAACGACGTTCTATCAATTTTGGAGTATGACTCCATTAAGGTAGTTCAATGTTAGTTTTCTTTCAGTTTGACTTTTGCATAGATTTTCTTTGGAAACTTTTTCTGGAGGTCTCGTTGTTATCACTTCTCTATCACCTTTCAAACTCACGCCACGTAAAATGTATTTCAGATTACCTCTATGAACGTAGAAATTAAAAGTGAACTGCTTAGAAATTTAGGTGTTTCTTTGATTAGATGGAAAATTCGTTTGCACTGAAACTTTATGTGAATTTGCTTTCATTAGGATTGAAATAACTTTCAAACAATTTGAATCTTACAGTGAAATTGCAAAGTAATAAATATATTTGAGAACTAAGTATACTTGCAACTTAATTAAACCTTGAATAATTATTCCAGATATAAATATCAAATTTTTATATTCATCTAACGTTTCAATTCTCAAATGTTATTTACAGAATAAACCTTTACACGAAAGAACAGTTGTATTCTGCACCTTCAGCTGAAATATAATTATCAATTCGCAACAATCCAAAATAGTTCACTCCAACTATCTCGCTCGTCAATAACAAAACAATCTATTTAATCTCTATATCTGAATTTCCAATGGAACCAACAATGGGTGCATCGATCAAATAAAAATCATCATTCTACTTCAACATCGCCGTAGGACGTTTCAAACATAATTCATCACTCGAAAACGCATCGTTTTCCTTCACTTCAATGCCCCGCTTTGCGCAACGTTAAGACGTAATCTAGATTCGAGACGCATAAATCAATGAAAGAAACTTAAATTTCAGCCATAACGGATTAAATTTGAGTGTTATCTCGACGATATACACAAATTCGAATTTTACAGGAGCACGTTAGATGTGTGTAGAATTGTCTTCTTTTGTGTGTTCGATCGAGAACCAATTCGTAGAAAGAACATTGCTTTTTCCTTCGTCGCACCGGCGCGTATCGCCGATAATCGCTTGTAGCGGGCTTGTCAATTCGTGTGATTTTGTTATTTGCGATATTATCGTCGATACTCCCCGTTCATTCGTGTGCGTAAAAACACTCGTGTCGCTTTCTTGCTCTTAAATCGGCCGTACACTACGTCGTTCTTGTTATCGCGCATCTTTTCAGGAAATCTCGTATCACTTTGATGCAGCAAATTTGCACGTACGACATACGTGAAGCAAGATTGATACGTTTATGCTGCTTTGTTCTATGTTTCGCTCATTGTTACCACACACCGTTAACTCTCGCATCGAACACACACACACACATGTGGAAACGTTCAACCATCATTTTGCAAATAATCACCGTGAAATTTCTTACGATGTGACGTTACAGTGAAACTGATTAAGTTTTTCATTAGGGCCGTATGTTAATCGATTTTGATCAATCCTCTTATCGAGACTTCCGACGCTTCGTTTTCAACGAACGACGTGACGAGTTCGCAATTTCTGCACGTTGTACACGAAAAATGTACGATATTGAAAAATACACGGATCGCTTAAACGATCGTATCTACGGTACAAAATGGAACACGACATAAACAGTATGTGACATTTTTGTTGCAATCCCGGTGAAAATTTTCGTACGATAAAGCAACATTGTACGTTGATTTTTGTCAAGTGCCAGCCGAGGCACAGATAAAATATTAGTACGAATAGCTTTGATAAGCACCGCGCCCATCGTGTTATTCCAGCTCTGATACGACATGACGAATAAAATTTCGGACCGGTTTCCGGTGTTAGCTGCAATCAGAGGAACGACTACCGAGTAGAATAAGAGTAAAGCATTTCGTATTATTCACGTTTCCGTGAAATTACCCGCGCGTCTGCGTATACAACGCGACACGTATAAGCATACAACGAATATACAATGTTGTATAAACATAGATAAGAAATTTCGATTTACGATTACTCAATGTCATTAATACGATTCCAACGCTGATAGAACCACTCACCGGTGGAATTACAATTTTTATTCGTTCTACGTTGACAGTAGAAGAAACGTCATTTCTTCACGCTTCTCTTCATGTCATTGTCAAATTTCACACTTCTGCGAACTCCAAAAGTGTTTTAAAATCTCAAGTCACAGCTAACACCTTTCCTAATTTTCTTCGTATCAATTAACAGTGAACACAAAGAATCCTTTTTTCTATTTGCGAAAAATCTCTTCAACTCATATACCTAATCAAAAATCCAGAAATTGATCTTACTCGTAATGCAAGGAGCTACTATCAACCTCGATCACGAATTTCAATAGGCCCGTTGCTTATCATTCTCTCGCTCTCTTGGTCGAAGGAACGTCAGATGGGTCCAATCTTTGGCGGCCTAATTTTTCATTGAAAAACGAAACGCACGGGGCGGGCGATGTTACCGAGGTCGAGATAAACGAGCGAGACAACGGCCGCTTGAGCAAACATCGATGGCCAAATTCCTACGTATCGTCGGTAGTTTCGTCGCGAGTTTCGCCCGGTTGAAAGAGAGAAAGGAAAAAAATAATGACACCATTCACCATCGGTCTAAGAAGAATCTCGGTGCACGTAGCAACGAGCAGAGGACGAAGACGATCTCTCGGTGGCACCACCACCTGTTTTGTGATTCATTAACTCACCGGCTTATCGGGATAAGGCAGACTTATCCGGGGCTCGAACCCGACACTGCGGCTAAACCCGATCTTATTCCAATGGCATCCCACCTATCCCCGTTTCAGTTTCACTCCCAGAGTTCTCTCACTTCCAGACCACAGGTATACTCTTCGTTCTCCGCACTCTTTGCAGAAATCGCGCGCGCTCTTTTCTACGTTTCGGGCAACCCCTCGATCTAGCCGATTGATCCAACGAGAATTCGATTTTCCTCGGGAAGAGGCTACCGTGGGACGTGACACGCCTAACCGTGGCTGGTTGATTAAGTGACTTTGGTTTCAGGTTAAGTTTAATTAGGAAGTGCGATTGAATTTTGGAAATTGTGAAAGTTTGTTTTAATTTCAAGTATGCCGAACGAAGTCTTCTGTCTTATTAACCCTTTCACTGCGGCAGATTTTCAGCCAAGGCCGCAAAATCTTGTATTTTGGCGTTTTTAAATTTTCTGAAGAATTGAAAAATTCACCTTTTTGAAAATTAAGGCGGAATTACGCAAATGACAGAAATTAGAAATTAAATTCGCACCAGTAGTCGCGGGCAAATATTCGAAACGCCGATAGCAATGAAAGGGTTAAACGATTTGTAGATTTTGCGTTTAGTACGGTATAACTTTTTTCGATGTGTAGACATTCGAATCCATAAACACCTGTATCAATTTTCCATTTCGCAGACAATATTTATAACCCAAGTACGTTCACCGTTAAAATTTTCTTCGTCGTTCTATTTCAAACACTACTTTCCCCTTTGAAACTGTGAATAAATCTCGATATCCATCAGTCATTCGAATAATTCATCGACATCCCTGCGCCAAAATTAAAATCCCATTTAAATATCACTTTCGCCGTAGTTCTTATTAATATCGCATCAATGCAAAACGCGTCAGTCCAGTGAAATTAGAGATCGATGACCCAGCGGATTGTTCATTGTCCAACTTGGAAATCCAACTTCTTCGTACGGACAGTAGGTGAAAAAAGGAAAATCTGTTATTCCTTTCGGTCAATACCAATATCCCAATATTTTGTCAACAGGCTGACATACGGTCTGTACCGGCTTTTCGATCGGTGCCCCCTGTAGTCATTAACTACCCCTTTATTATGGCGCTGCCTATAGGAGATCCGTTGGCAGATGCGCCGAAGTCAACCCTTGTTCCCTTCGTCTAATGGTGTTGACAAATTGCTCGGCTAGCCGCTACGTCTCCCTAGGGAAGCCACGGTGAAACTCTTCTGGCCGCAGACTCATTGGCATTTAGACGTGCAATCTTTTAGATCACTGCGCTACCGGAATAAGACGTAGTGTCGAGGTCCCCGTGCCTTCGATCTTGCTCCCTATGAATTATAACGTGAGCTGAATAATTGCGAGGATTCAGCAATTTTTCTGATTAATGGTGATAGCGTTCGAATGTGAATACGGCCAGCAGACCTAATTGATGGTTAAGGACTCGTCAATGGACGAGTTCACACGCTTTGAGAGGTGCTGAAAACAGTATCCAAGACAGCAAATTAGTTAATAGAAATTTATTCTAATTGGTAATAAAATATAAAAAAAAATGTGAAATCTTGATTTTTCGTGCTTTTGATAATACTGTCTTTGCCCGTTAATGCTCAGATTTTTGTCAACTTGATGTGCCAAAAATGATCTATTTTATATTTCTTTTTATTATTGTTTTTTGAGTGTGTAAAAATATTACTTACGTATATTAACTTACGTTTTACCATAACTTACGCGTTTACCGCAATTGAAAGAGAACAATATTGAAAAATTGCACCTGTTAAACGATTTAATTTATTAATTTAATTTAAAAAATTTTCTTTCTACTTTTTTCTAGAATTTTATTTAAACAGTTTAATTTAAACGAATTAAGAAATAATAGTTTTCCTAATTCAGTCACCGTGAGATTTCAAGATTGTGAAATTACAAAATAATAATTTTCCTTTATGGTTAACGATTTCCATAGGTGAATAAACAACTCGTTAGGTTCCAATGAATCAAGATCTCAGTTTCACACGTCATTTTCTACTACAATTGCCAAATATTTA